AGGGATATGAAGGGTTAGAATCAGAATTATATCATATGGAAATTTGAGTGAAATTCCTAAATTCTATGTGGAGGAATGGATTTTGAAGTGTAAGAGATATTGAATGGGTATTAATTAGTTTAAATAAGTGTATAAGAGTTAAGAACATGAAAGGGGATGAAATATGAAGCATTTGAGTTGTTTTGAGTAGATTTTCGGGATTTAAAATGAATTCTGAGCTATGTGCATCGATGCACATTCAAGGTGCACCGATGCATCAAGGGTAAACCTCTAGAAATTGTTCAGTGTGTATCGATGCACAGGAAGTGCATCGATGCACCTATTAAAATGAAAACATCGAAGGTGATTTGTGCATCGATGCACGGGTACTGCATCGATGCACATGCTAAAGAATGCATCGATGCACTGTTGAATGCATCGATGCACTTCAAGAGAAATAGAAATAAACCTTTCTTTTGGTCTAAGAAATGATAGATTAGAGTATATTAATTGGATACTGAAATGTATCAATGTATTATTATGTAGATATTGAACGTGACTTTGCTTCAAAGTAATCGAAGGGTTAGAATTGATTCAATTCAAACAAGGCTAATGTGAGTGCATATGCATAACATGATTATGTTAGTATATTCAGTTCTAGACTTGCGATAAGTCTAGATTTAATATCTTGATACATGATTCATTCAATATTATTAAATATGATATGAATTCATACCATATGTATTATGGGATATACTATGCAGATTGTGGTAAGTCTATTTTCCAGATTAGAGCTTATATATGAATGTATGTGTCATATGGGATTGAATGAGTTACGAGATATCTATATTAGGTATATGAAGTGTGTGTGATGTGTTTGTTATGGTTTATATGTATGAATGAGCATATGTATTGACATGTTACAGTATATATATATTATATGAGTTGTGTAAATAGGTAGATAAATGTGTTAAATATGTGAAATAGTTAAAATGATCAATATGATTTCATAAGAATATGAAATAAGAAGTATGGAAAGGACATAAGAAAGAATATGATATATATAGCATATGAATATGAAATCATATGAGGGGGGACATGAATTATATGAAAAATAAACTACGTGATTACAAATATATGAAAATATGCTAGTGTGATGGGATCTAGGAACTAGTATACGTGATATATATATACATTTATATAAGTTATTGGATGAAAAATGAACAAGAGATGAAGGACAATACTATAGGAGTATGATAAAAACATAAATGATGACATGTATGTATGTATGTATGTATGTATGTAATTGTTATATGAAAAGGTATAGGTAATAAGATGATCATATGAACATGTGATAAAGAGCTATAGAAAAAGAAAAAATGTGATATGATGTGTGAATATGTAATAAGGTAAAAGACAATGCCCATGATATGAGTTATGAGAACTGTAAGTATAGTTGCATTTCAAGAGTCAAAGAACTACCTATGTCTTTCGAGACATATGGACAGTATACCTATGTTCTAAGGAACATATGGATAGTTTACCTAGGTTCTTCGGGACCTATGGATAGTTACCGAGGATCTTTATGACCTCTGGATTGTTACCGAGGATCTTTATGACCTCTGGATAGTTACCGAGGATCTTTATAACCTCTGGATAGTTACCGAGGATCTTTATGACCTCTGGATAGTTACTGAGGATCTTTATGACCTCTAGATAGGTCATTCGGAACATTCATTGAGCTGTGGTGACAGCATACGTGTGCACAACCTCATAATACTCGTATACCTTGGGTTCTCAATAGTGTATATGGGCTTAAATAAGATATAACAAGGATGTATATAATTGTATCTTAATATGGTATTATTATGATTTATATTGGCTCATATGTGGTATAATAAATGATGGTATGATAGTATAATTGCGTTTGGATAGTAGACGATATGTTTATATTTTTAGTAATTCTTTATTATGTAATTATGCCTCACTAAGTCTATGACTTAGCGTGTAAGTGTTTTTACACGTAGGTTTCGAAGACCAGGAGAATCAAGAATAGGAATTTGCAGATCAACATATCTCCACTCAGCGATCAGATCAGAAGTAAAGTCACAGTAGGTATTTTGTTATATGTAGTGTGTTGGCATGTAAGAAAAGTGTTAGTTACAAATGCTCTGATTAGTTTTGTCTTATTTTGGTTAACTCGTGTACAGTGACAATGTTATTTTAATAAAAGTTTTAAATTTCATTGGTTTTCGTTAAAAGTTAAAAGTTTGAAAAGTCAATGTGAAACCTCAGACTTGTATCCGGGTCGGATACGGGTTGAGGGTGTTACATTGATTATCTTGCATAATTAGTTGCTCATTTAGTTTAAGCATGCATGAGTTTTGATTTTAAATAATTTTATGTTTTCTATCTCATGTATGTTAAAAAGTGTTATGATGAACATTTTCTAAAGTTTTAATAATTTCTCATAAATGTTTGTTCATTATAATGAATTTTGGTCAAAATTAGTTTTAATACTTTGTTTTTACAAATTTTAACTTTTGACTTTAATTTAAATGTTTATGCATGTGATTTTTTTTTGCAAATAATATCTCTCTAACAATTGATATCAATTTTTTAAAATCATAACATTGTTGGATAGCTTTATACACATGCACTTAAATACAACAACTGGTATTGCATAAAGTATATTAGACATGTATATATTAAATTTCTTGTGCTACCTTTGTTGAAATTCAATGTATTTTAAGTGTCAGGCTTTTAAAGTCAAATTTGTGTTCGGTATGCATTTGTTAAGGGGGAGCTTTTGATGTTTCAAATGATTTTAATGCTAAGATTATCTAATTACTCTTCATTGTTATTTTTTAACCTAAAGTTTGAAAAAAATTATATAACAAAAAGGGAGAGAAGTATAGGTTTGAAAAATTCAATTTCAAGAATGAAAAAGTGTGAGCTTTAATATTTTATAAAATATTTCTATTTTTCATTAAATGTTTTGATAAGCGGGAGCTTTTGCCAAAAATTATTTTTCAAAGGTTTTGTTATATCAAAAAGGGGAGATTGTAGAACTAATATTTTAATATAACAAATAAGGGCAACATGTTTTTAGACTAAATTGAATTTATTCAAAGTTTTCATCAAAATAATTCAAAGTCCAATTAAAATCTTAAAATGATTATTTTGACCAGAAGTTTTGAAACTTCTACAAGAGTTACGAAACTTTCCAAGACAGCTTTCCAAATAGTTTCAAAACGATCAAGAGTTTCGAAACATTAACTAAAGTTTCGATACTTTGTGTTCAATGGTCAAATTTTTCCAACAGCTCTTTTGAAGAGTTTTGAAACTTTCCCCAGAGTTTCGAAACTTTGTGTGTAGAAAATCTTCTTACGGCTCCAAACCTTCCCAAAAGGTTAGAAATGGCTAGTAACTCATTCCAACATATATAAATAAGTTCAAGACACTTGAAGAAGGTGAACAACACCTATCCCAGCAATCAAACACAAGAGAAGAGTTCTTCAATCTTATTTTTCTTTCTATTGTAAATATTAGTGTTTTAGTGAGCTTAAACTTTGTAAACACCTACCTTGTAAGGTTTTTCTTGTTTACATCTCTTATCCTTTGTAAAAAGGTTTTGGTTATAGTTTAGCCAAGTGAAAAAACTAGGGAGTTGTAAAGGTTACTCTTGATCTTTGAAAAAGAAAGAAAAAATTAGTGGATTTGTTGAAAAATTCTAAGTGAGAAGCTTAGGTAGTGGGTTGATAAGTCGAACCCCTATCTTTATACTTCGTGCTCCATAAATTTTAAATTGTCAATTCACCCCCTCTTGGCACATATTTCGGTTAATTGAATGAGATTCATCAAACCTAGCAATGCTTTGGTAGTGGATGTAGACTTGGTTGATAAGTCGAATCACTATAAATCATTGCGCAAATTTTCATATCTTTATACTCTTTACTCCCTAAATTTTAAATTGTCAATGCACCCCTCTTGGCACATATTTCGGTTGATTGAACGAGATTCATCGAACATAACAAAAATATAAGTTGGATTCGGACTCAGGGTATCAAGGCAAAGTGACCCGTGAAATTTTAGGTTAAGAGATAATTTTTTTAATCGGTAAATTACTTTTATAATAAATTAAATTATAGTTAGGGGTTTCATTAAAAACCTCACTATTCTTAAGCGGAGGAAAAGAGTATCCTAACTAAGAGATAACTTTTAAAATTTTAAAATTGGATAGAGCTATAAAATTTCAAGGAAAAAATAAATTTTTAATATAAAATATGTAAAAAAAAATTAAAAATATATAATAATTTTAAATTTTCAAATAGTGACTCACCGGTCTCCTATCCATTCCCGGTAATCATGCAGGACTTTCATCATATTATCAGAGTAACATGATTCACCGTCGATGATCCTAGTAAGATACTGACTACAAAGAATCCTCAATGACAAAACCTTTGTCGTTGCCCTGTTCACAAAATCTTAATCTCTTAGCCGTTAGAACTCCGTATCATTATTTTTTCCGTTCGATTTCAATGAAAATACCATAAATCGGTTCGACAGTTTGATCTGACATCGACGATCTAAATGATTTCTGCCTCCACCATAAATTTTATCTCTGACACTTTATCTTCACTTAGTTTTTCAGTCATCATTTCAACATTGTTTCATTCATCAGGTTCTTCAATCGTCAACCGACGGTTCATCACCGTCAACATTGTTTTCTAGTTTCGATTTAATCATGGTGGTCTTGTTATTGGGAACAGATTGTCGATTAAGTTGATATCTACTGTTTACTGATGTTGCACAGTTATTGGTACATCTTATGATTATTACTGATCCGAAGACAATAATGTTTCTTATTGACTTAATCCCAAGTCAAGATCTTCGACATAATGACAAAGAAATTATATATGTAGTAGGAATAAAGGTGATATAAGTTTCATTAGATTCCAGAATCAATAGTGAATATCCGGGACAAAACGCATTATAAATGTTAACAACAATACCAAGTTTTAGTTGGAAGTTGAAGGCTGGAATCGTATACCGGGTAGATATCTTGAGACACAATCCCGGACTAAAGACTGAAGCTCCTCGTCGTCTATTCCCTGCTCAAAGGGATTTAGAGAGCTTGCAAGTTCGATTGAAGGCTGATGCAGTTGTGCGGGATCAAAGATGATGGACATGTTAGAAGAACGTACCATGTCGGGACCTATTTCCGATGAATAATGAACGTTGGTGGGCGATTGGCATTCGACTTTAGGTGGCGGCATTTGAGTGAGACGCTGCAAAGTAGAAACACGGGCCTGCGTGTAGGCTACCTCTGCTTGTAAATTTACTACCTACAATATGATGAATTCATTAATACTACATCTTATCAATACAAGCGTTCATACATGTAAAGTGCTTCGAATGCTACCTACAGTTGAAACGCAGAAACCAGGTTGAAAATAAGAGTAACATAATGTAAGGGTTGAGGTTACATAACCGAGGCAAAGTGATTCATTGATTATGCAATAAGAAACACTGAAACACCCATCAATTCTCTAATATCTCAATTATACATTATAAACGTTGCTCATAATAAGATTATTAAATGTTCTAGCCTTCGGCTTCTAGGTAGTTTCTTATCATATAAAAAATGTTAATAAAATGGATTAATAAAGTCAAAATCAAAATACTTAGAATATTTCTCGAGTTGCTAAATTTGCTTGCAGGCTCCGGCAAGCAACCAGATCACTTAGCGCTCCTCTCATGTCTCTCTCTCGGAGAACGATAAAAAAAAAAACTAATGGTTAGCCTAGGAAAAAAATCATACATTTCCAGCTAGTATTTAGCTTGAGTTTCACGTGTAATGTTCTTGAAATGTGAAACCTTTGACTAAGCTAGAAAGATTGCTTCCAGTATATATAATACAACAAAAATATTGTACTTCAGTTGTCAAACTTTTACCGGACGGGTACACCTTCCAAGACACACGTTTGCATGAAAACTTTGGAATTTTAACCAAGTTTTAGCCTTTTCTTAAAGGGTTTTTAGGTGTTATGAAACAGCAGCTGGTTCCTCATGCCAAATATGGGTGTAAGATTTTACTCATATTAGTTGATTAGGCTAGTAATTATGGAGCAGCAAAAGCTTACTTTCACTGTTATAATTGAGAAAAAAGTGGTAATTCTGGTGCATGTAAAGAAAAAAATACATGAAATGAAACTCTTAATTATTTATGTTTGGCAATTTGATATCTTGAATGGTTTCTTTTTCTCTTTGTTTTCTAATGATAATAAACAGATTCCTAATCCCTCTTTACTCAAATCTAAATTGTCTGACTGCATGCAGGCGTGAACTCAGAAAAAGGTTTGACATTGTCTTGAATGAATTTACCGATTCTTCCTTGTACTAACAAGCCGCCGCCTCATCTTTAAAGTAGCAAGTGCGGATGAAAAAGAGAAGAGTGACCTACCTGTTGTTGGAGGGTAAAGATTTGGCCGGCACAACCATAGACAGGGTCTTTAACCCTAGCCAAAGCCTCGTAACAAAGTGAAAACCCAGCATCAACACGCTTGTGAGCCGGTACTCCCTGCAGCAACTTGGAAGCATTGCTTGCACCAAAAACCTTGTGCACTGCAGCAAAGTGAACCGTGCCTTGGTCCGGATCAAAATATGGTGCAAATATGCACCCTTTCACGCACTTCCGCCGGAGGAATTTGCAGGCGCCACAAGGCCCACCTCCTTTATTCGCTAAACTCATATCTGATACCTTCTCTTTGCTTTTTAGAAACAAAAGAAAATAATATCGAGAGCGAGGGAGAGAGAGAAAGGAAGTGGTGGATAATAATGGGGTATTTAGAGAGAAAAAACTGGGTTTGTTTGTTAGCCAGTTCTGTTGGTGACCGTGGGGCCAAGCAAGAAAAGGACTGATTTTTAATTATATATTATCTGTCCATTTTTAACTAAAGTAGCTTTTATACATTACATGTTAATGCAGCTAGTTAACCCTGACAATGTACATACATAATCCATTGTTATTAATAACAATAAATGGAATATTTTATTGCTATGAGTAGCTCTGGTTCATGTGTATAATAAAAGGGTGCTTTAGGTTTGGGATTGGAAAGACTTGAAAGTGAAGGCAAGGCCGGGGGGAGAGGAAGTGGAGCAGCTGGTGGTTGCGTGAAGCAAACAAACATGCGGGTGCGGTGAGTGGCAGTCAGTCTCAGTCAATCTGCGTTCAACTCTGTGTTTCAATCCCAACAGCTGCAGTTGTAGACACGTGGGACGACAGACATCTTCCATATCCAATCATCTTTCTCTCTTGTCACCTTCACTTTCAGCTTTTCTTCTCGGCTCCCACAAATCAGATCAGATCATTGATCTGATGGTTTTTACCCTACCGTTCCCTTCTTCATCCTCTTCTTCACCATTGCTTTCTCTATTCTCTTGTTTTCCACCTTTGTTTCTCTGTCTTAAACAAGATTCGTGTTTATAGGTATTTATTAATATTTTATTGAATACATTATACCGAAATGATAAATAATTTTTTCAGTTTATAGTTTATAGTAGTCACGAGTTAGATTAGCTCAAAATTAAGAATAAATAAAATTTGATTATGTTAAAATAAAATTATTTTTAAAAATATAAATATTTAAATTAAATTAACTTTTCAATTTAAAATCAAAATCTAAATTTGAATAGGTAAGCGGAATTAGATTATTTAGGTTTATAGGATGGCCCATAACAATCTATGATAATTGTTACAGTGATTCAAAATCCTTCACTTGGGGTGATAAATTCTAATAAAATATGTTTTTATTAGAATTTGTTACTCTTTTATGATAAATTTTAATAAAATTATATATATTTTTTAAACTTATCATCCTGACGAATTTTAATAAAAAATATATTTTGAAACATGTCATTCACGTGACTTGTTCGTCATCCACTATAATAAATATTATAGATTCCAAAATAAATTTTACAGTACTTTATTGAGCTAAATATTTTTTTTCTTAAATCATACCTTGATTTTGTTTGAATATGTAAAATGAATAATTAAAATATAAAAAAATGAAATTTAAGTAATAGAATATACTAAACCCACTATAAAATAAAGGGTAAACTATGTCAATAGTCATTAATGTTTGAGTTAGTGTTAGTTTTCACCATTGATGTTTTAAAAGTTACAAATCGATCCCTAACGTTATCGTTTGTTACAAATCTAATCACTCCACGCTAACAGTCATTAATATACATAACAAAAATCACAACTAAATCGTTATATACTGACTTCAACTATCACGGTAGATGGTGAAATGGCTCCAACAATCACTTCTTCTTCTTCTTATTCTTCTAGAACTTTCTTTCTCCCCAAACACTCAAGGATTTATATTCTTTCTTCTTCTTGTAGCAAACATATGTTCAAAGTGTTGGAACGTGGGATTTATAGCATTTTTTTTCTATCAATTCTCTTCAAGCATCACCAAAGCCAAAACCATGGTTTACCCATTAATTTCCATGAAAACCCCAATTTTTTAACCAATCCAAATACCCCAAGAATTGAGGAGAGATGGTTTTCAACTTTTCAACCATTCAGGTCTTTTCAGCAATAAAAACCCAAGACCCAATTTTTATACCGTGAAATAAGAACAAGTACTGGTGAATTCTCTGTGAGAGAAGGGAAGAAAAATAAGGGGAATTTATGAGAAAATGAGTTTCAAGAAATGATGAGATTTGTGCAGGTTGGGTATTGGTTTCAAGGGTTTAGGTGTTTTCCATGGTTGGCTTTGAACTTCCACATGTCTCATATTAACTTGGACCCTTCAACATTGCAGGCTTGCAGCATGTGCAAAATTTTGGGAACCTACCCATGGTGGCTAAGCCACTTTTTGGGAACCTGAGCAAGAGTTGTTGCTTTCAAGCACGGATATTAGGGTGGAGAGATGGAAAGCATATATAGAAGAAGAAGAGGTGACCATTGGAGGCATTTCACTGTCTACTGTGACGGTCCAAGTCATATAACGGTCTAACTATGATTTTCGTTATGTGTATTGATGATTGTTAATATGGAATGATCAATTTATAACTAACGATAATATTTGATCAATTTGTGACATTTGAATCATCAGCAGTGAAAACCAATATTGATTCAAACATTATTGACCGTTGGTGTAGTTTACCCTAAAAGAAATTACATATCAACTAGGTTTTTTGTTATTTGTTTCTTCTGTATATACCTGGTGTGCGGTTGGATTCATTGCTCGATCTGAGTGTTTGTGGGCTTTGAACCACGATATTATGGTTTTTTGGCCCATTAGGCAGGCAGAAATTATTGATCCTACTAGGTCATATTAGAAATTATTTTAGGATCTACGATAAATGTTACAGTAAGGGAAAACTCGTCACGTCTACATGACGAGTTTGCTCAAATAATAATTTTGATTGAAACTCGTTACGTTGACGTGACAAGTTTCAATAAAATATAATTTTTTAAAATTAGATTTTATCACATCGGTGTGAAAAGTTTGAGTAAAAAATATATATTTTTGGATCTCGTTGACGTGATGAGTTACGTGATAAGTTTAAAGTCATTGTAATAAATATCGTAGATCCTTAAATAATTTACTTTGTGCGGTATTGGATTAAATAATTAAACCGCATGTCCTAATGGGCAAAAAAAGCCGGATATTGTTGCCTTTTTTGGGCCTTAATTTTCTACTCTGCACATTCCACTCTTGTTTGAAGTTCTGTAGACACGTAGAAAATTAATTCGTAATAAAAAAAATTATTAAAGCATTTATTAACGTATCACAATATCAAGCATGTATGTTTTTAGCCACTAAGCGGCCCTAATAGAGGTAAGGTTGAAAATGGTCAGAAGATTACTACGCATTAGCCTTGGACCAATAAACCCAACAACATTATGATGGAAAATATTAGTTTAGATATAGATTTTAATATTAAATATTAATTCAGATATGACTTAAGAGGTAATTAAAACATGTGGTATAATTGTAATTTCATATATGTAAGCCAATTAAGGAAACAGTTATTTAATGTTTGTGCTGGACATTGGCTTTACAATTTGTCAGCTTCCTTATTAGAGATTGTTACAAGAAGTTGCCTGTTAATATTGAAAATTTAGATGGGTGAGTCTAAGAAATGCCCCAAAAGGGTATTCCCAAAGATCTGTAAAAAGTAGGACCAGATTTGCTGCCCTCGCTATTGTTTAATGATTAAATTACCCTTTCAGAGAAAAGCTAAGCTTGTGGAGTACTTGCTAGATAATTTGCAGCACAGAGTACCATAATATATATTATAATTACATGCACGAGAGTGACTGCTTCATATTCTGGGAATTGGTGCAAAGACCTAAATGATTGCCGCTTTTACAACTGCAGCAGTGCAGGCATGATAGTAATGTTCACACATCATTGCAGCTAAATATTTATATTATTAATTAATTAGTTTGACCATCACTTCCTAAAACAATTTATAAATATAGGATTATTATAAGTTGGACCTGAAAGCATATTTACCTTAGCATAAGGTTACATCCTGTAATTTTATAATGATTTTCTGGGTCATAAAACTTGTAAAGAAAATGATAACTAAATCTGATTCATCTTCCTTTTGCCTGCACGAGTGGGGAAAACCTGTGATTTGTAGGGTTACGCTTTCGATCTTTATTTATGTTCTAATATAAAACATTATTGAGCTCTGATTAGACTGTATGTGTTTGTTAAAGCCGAGGCAAACCTAATAACAAACACTAACGCTCCTACTTATTAACATTTTAATCTGACAATTAATTCAACGTTAAAGTGTGTCTGCCATACAGAACTGAGGATGCCTTATTAGGACGTAACGTAAGGAGGACAACATCTTAAAATCAAAATAATAATAATAAACTCAGCTCCCTTGAAGTAATATGCCTATTATCATTGTTTATCACGTACTGCAGTTTTGGCTGCAATGAATGTGAAATACAAATATGTTACGTTCAATCTTGGCCTTGGTTTGATCAGCAATATCCTTGTGCATGCTTTAGTCGTCCGCAGCTTACTAGGGTTTCTGTTTTCTTAATATTTTTAATTAAATGAATATATTCTTTTGATAAACAAATACATATGTATGTGATCCAATTTTGTTAACAAGTATAAATCACTGGATTTAATCCCACTGTGCGACTTGAATGTATGAAACGGGGAATACGAAATGACATATTTATGAGGTAGACACGAGACAACACAAGCTACTACACTATACTAGGATTCAATTCAGAATTGCAGATGTTGTTCTTTATCATGTGGAACTGTTCCAACGTCATCCCTCTGTCTTCAAACTCGTACCTTTATCACCACGTGTCTCGATCTTACTTCTTCTTACAGGATTCGAATTCCTGTCGATGCTTCCTATTCACACCACACGGATTAGACAATCGGCGGACGGCGCGGTGACAGCTCCGTTATTACCATTTTTTTCTTTATACATAATATTTTGTATTTTCCATGGCTTAAACTTTTAAACTACTTCAATCTTGAGAGGAAAAAACACTGTTTATTATATATTGTAATAAATATACAATTCGACGAACGTTACTTCACATTACGCGTGGATCCCACTTGGAAAAAAGAATGAGGTCATGGTTTTACCAGGACGCTACGTTCCTCGTCAAAGAGTCATACGTGGCTGCAACGCTTTCGAATGGCTCAATGTTGCTGCTTTGAACGCCGAATCAAGTTTTGACCTCCATTTTATATTACATATAGATAAATCCAAAATATTATTTTCA